AAACAGCCATCAGTGTGCTAATGATCCATTGTTAGGCTGATGGTCCTTCTTGAGCATGTGATCAGCTGGTTTTGGTTGTCAGCGGCAAAACTGGTTGATCCACTCTGAGACGGTGCTATTTAAGAGACTGAGCTGAATACAGCACCTCAGACTGAGGAAGTCTCTCGGATGAGAGACGAAACGTTTCTACATTGTTTTTGTTTGTTTTGCTTTGTTTTATTTTTTGAACGTCCAGAGGACCAGATTTAACTTTTTTAGAATAGTTAAAAGAAAACAACCATTTTCATAAAGGGTTTCAGTCCTTTATTTTTGTTTTCAAAAAAGGTCTGAATTTAATAAAAACAATAATCAATTTTGCGGTTTCCCACTGACATATGTTGTAAAACCTGGTTAATATCATTCTTCACAACATGGCCTTTTAAATGTGCCATAAAATTTAAAGAAATTGTATGATTTTCTTGAAGTATTTTCTTTTAAATCTGTTGTGTTTTTTCTTCATATTACACATTCAGTTTATTGTGGTCCCTAACTGATTAAAAAAAGTATCTGCAAGTATGGGGTGCCATTTGTAAAGTTACACAGTCAAAAACTAACAGCAACATTTTGGTTTATTTAGCCTTTCATACGAAAAAAATTGTTTTTGTTTTTTTTTCAAAGTTATATTTTCACTGTTATTCATACATTTATAAATGCCACAGTTCCAAACTAAATATTTAATTTACAAGCTAAATATTTAGTTTACAAACTAAATATTTAACTTGCAAGTTAAATATTTAGTTTTGAACTATACATGTATAAATGTATGAATAACATGGTGAAAATCTGACACATTTTTTTTCTTATGAAAGGCTAAATAAACCAAAATATTGCTGTTAATTTTTGACTGTGTAACTTTACAAACGACACCCCATATGCAAGTGCCTGAAACATTCTGTGCAGTTGTATAAACGGAATATGCACTTTTACAGTTTCTGATTAGTTTTTGTGTTTTTTACAGTAGAATGTCTCTTATTTGATGTTTTATTCATGTGTCTTGTGCTGCTGCCTGCCCATCAGCCTCCAAGGAAGCTCAGGAGGAATTAAAAATAATCCAGAATGTTTTCTCCCGTCGAGCAGTTTGTAACGTGACCCGCTGCACTTCTGTTTGAAACCGAGACTCTGCTGCTCCACCGAGAAGAGAAGAAAGCTCTCCTCTGAAAGTTTGATGTAAGACAGCTTCCTCCGTTTGTTTACATTTCTACTGGAGGAAACACTTTCAGGGGATTTTACAGACTCAACTTTTGCCTCTTTACATTTTTATTTTTATCTTTTTCTCCTCCTAAATTGTACATTTGTATAATTTTGTTATTGTAAAAACTGTAAGTATGTTAGAATAAACAATTTATTGTGGCCTAAACTGAAGCTGCGAGCTCTTGTTGTCAGGAACTTTATTGGTTTTATTATTTTTTTTTTATTTTTATTATTTTATGTATAAAAGCCAAACCATCACTTTGCTGCCCTCCGGTGCTTTTACGTCTAAAATATTATTGAAGATGAGGTTTCTCACAAGTTTAGTCTAAAGATAAAAACGAGACCTAAAATGTTTTGAGCCAGAACCAGTATAATTTAAAGAAAATGTTGGATTTATATTGCTGTTTTTAACTGTTTCTTTTAAAAGTTATTAATTCAATTGATCAATTGAATGTTTTTATTCTTTTATGGTTGTGCGTGGGCAGCAAGGTGGGGCAACTGGTACAGCTGCTGCCTCTCAGCAAGCAGGTCCCTGGTTCAAATCCCAGTCCAGGGGCCTTTCTGGGTGGAGTTTGCATGTTCTCTCCGTGCATGCGTGGGTTTTCTCCGGGTACTCCGGTTTCCTCCCACAGACCAAAAACATGCATGTTAGGTTGATTAGTAACTCTAAATTGTCCCTAGGTGTGAGTGAGAGAGTGAATGGTTGTTTGTCTCGTTTGTCTCTATGTGTCCCTGTGATGGACTTGCGACCCGTCCAGGGTGTGCCCCGGGGGGCACACCCTGGGCATGGGCACCGGCGACCCCCATGACCCAAAATGGAAGAAGCGGGTAAAAGATAATGAATGGATGGATGGTTGTGCATAAAAGGATAGAGTCATGTTTTCACATTTAATTTTATGTTTTACCCAATATTAATTATGTTTTTGCCTGCATCTCTGTGTGTCTTTGTCTTTTAGTTAAATATCTCATGAACCACTGGACTAATTTTAATGAAACCTTCAGGAAATAATCTGAAATAATCCCTGGATGTATGGATCCACAACAAAAATGCAATTCAAGATGGACGCCACTGCTAGTCAGTGTTAGCAATCATTAAAATGGCTTTAATTCAGCCAGTTTAACAGATACCGAGCTAAAGTTTCTTGTGATAGTATCTGCAAGTAACAGAATATAAGATTTACATAACATTATTTTCAAGCTTTCGTACGTTTTCCTTCAAAGAACACAAAGGCTTTCATTTATGATAAGGCATATCCTCGGGCATCTTTAATCAATCGGAGATGTTTGTCATCAAAACAGATCTTTATGTTAGCTACTCCAGGGAACAGGAGCGGAGTAGGAGAAGGCCCTTTTGCCTAATTCAGTCCGCATTGAGGGGGCACTGCAGGTAATAATGTCTTGAGAGCGCACGTTGTAGCACTCAAGCAGAGACATGTAGGAGGAGATGTATGAAGGCAACAGACCAAGAAGTGATTTGATGAAAATGTACCAGTGAAGTCTGCGTGAAGTTAATGATGTCCAGTTAACCAGTGAATACAGGGTGCAGTGGTGTGTACGATAATTACAGCCAGTTGTGAATCTTAGCGCACCATGGTAGGCAGCATCCAACATCTGCATGGTGCTTGTAGGAGCGTTCATATAGATAATGTTCCCGTAGTCAATGGAAGGAAGGAAAGTCACAGATACAAGGTGTTTCCTAGCATTCAGAGTTAGACAGGATCTGTTTCTGAAAAAGAAACCCAGTTTAACTTTCAGTTTTCTTACAAAGTTTTCCACGTGAAGCTTCAAAGAGAGATGCAAATCGACCAAGATACCAGAGTATTTCTAGGAATCGACAAACTCAATAGGGACACCATTCGAGGATAAAATCGAAGGAAGAACTGCTGGGACCAATTTCCTGTTTGAAAACAGCATCCCTTTGGTTTTGTCGGCGTTTAGGACAAGTTTGAGACTGAACAAATCTGACTGGATGATGTTAAAAGCGGATTGCAAAAGCTGGAAAACCTTACCAACTGTTTTAGCTCGACAATAAAACACTGGGTCAACAGCATAGAAATGTAAGAATGCATCAGGAATGCACTGCTCTACATTACCTATGTAGATTGTAAAGAGGGTGGGACCTAAGACTGAGCCTTGTGGTCCACCATTGATGACTGTTAAATAACTCGAGGAAATGCCATTATGTTGAACACATTGCCTCTGGTCTGAGAGATAGTTAGAGAACCAACCAATGGTGTGAGTGGAAAAACAATTTCTGAGAGCTTATGACACAAGATGTTATGATCCAGTGTCAAAGCTTTAGACAGGTCTAAGAAAAGTGCAGCACAATAATCCTTAGCATCCAGTGCTTCAACGTCATTAAAAACCTTCAGTGAAACAGTCGTGCTGTGTTGTTTCCTAAAACCAGATTGATGGAGAGGTAAGATGTTAAATGAGTCCAAATGCTTTTTGATTTGACTGTTTATCTGTTTTACTAGAACCTTAGCTAAAATGCACAGTTTAGAGATTGGTCGATAATCTTTGAGGGAAGTACGGTAATTTCACTTTGGTTTATTTCTTGTTTATTATTCAATTGATAAAACCCACACTGAGCTGGTGTCACACAGAGCAGAGCAGCTTTGAAATTTAGGGAAATGTGCTCAGCTTGGCTGACCTGAGACCGTCACTCTTCACTGCACGTAGATGTTGCATAAGAAGAACAAAAGACTTCATCTGCACTAGATGAATGTTCGGCTGCTCAGCAGGAAATACGCCCTTTTTTTTGGTTTGAATGTTGAAACACTATCACTAATTCTAAGAGGAATAAAAATTGTATCTTCTACTGCTTATCCATAGTTGTGTTGTGGAGGTAGCAGATCCAGGAGCAAAACCCAGACCTTCATTTCCCCAGCGACACTATCCAGCTCCTCCTGGGGGAGGTGTTCACAGACCAGAGAAGATATATAATCCCTCCAGCAAGTTCTGGGTCTTTTCCCAGTGGACCATGCCCAGAAGACCTCCAAAGAGAGGCATCCTAATCAGACAATCCACCTCAACTGACTCCTTTCGATGTGAAGGAGCAGCAGCTCTACAAGTCCTCTGTAGCTCCTCCCCCTATATGTAACTCTGAGCCCCGCCCACCCATGAAAGAAGCTCATTTCGACCACTTGCATTCACTCTTTCGGCCATGATCCAAACCCCATGTAGTCATGGTGAGGGTTAGAACATACGTAGACAAACCAGTAAATCAAGAGCTCACTACGACCGACCGAAGCAACGCCCTCAGTATAGAGGACGAGGCCCCTATCATTCAATACAAATTTGCTATGGCCTTCGCAACAAAGTTTCCCAAATGTCTCAAAAAGAATCCCATGTTGCAGGATTTTTTAATACAGTCATTCCCTCAGGTGTCTGTAATCCATCTTGAATTATTCTTATTTTTAGGAGTTCCCAAATGGCGAACAACAGTCCAGGCTGGACCCAAATGAACTCTTATCTTGGCCCAGGTCTATTGTTAAATTTCTGAAGAATGAACGGTGGCACAGCTGGTGGAGCTGTTGCCTCTCAGCGAGAAGGTTGCCAGATTGATTGATTGAGTTTGCATGTTCTCTCTGTGCATGCATGCAGCTTTTCCTGCTTTTACAGTAATTCGTTGTAGGAGGTGCAGCGGTGACTGCACGCCCATCGCTGCACACGCTTCTTCTCCGTGTTCAAAACATTTCAGGCCTGCAGAGAGACCTGGGCTCACTCGTGCCATCAGATACAGAGACATCTTTCTGTTGGATGCCATCATGCGTTGGACTCTAGCTGGATGCTATGGGCTTGCTCTGATAACTCTGTCAGGTAAATTTAAACTTTTACCTGAAAAACAATTAGCTTTTTTTAACCAAATAAACAAAATAAAACAAAAAGTGACTACAGGAGCCATCGGAAATGTTAACTATTTCATTTTTAGGCACCTAAAAGCAAATAAATTGTAATTTTTGAAAGCTACAGAGTCATTTAAATGTGATCTTATGTCTGTTTAATCACAACTAGACAACACAGAAGAGTTTCACATGTTATTTTTGACTCCACTATACCATTACTTCCTGACCACCTGGGGAAAAAGAGGAAGTTCACCTCTGAGGCAAATAACTACACATTATTGTCATGTTTAAGAATAAAAGTAGACTTTAATGTAATAAATACAAAAGCAAGTTGTAATCTAGTCTCTGACGTCTTTTTTACTTTATAATAAAAGTAAACAGGCAACGTGAGGAGTCAGGGAGTGATAGTTACACTTGTGTGTTGTTACCATAGTGACCATACTGTCAGCAGCTTTAGCGTTTGTTTTGATCTCGGTTGTCTTTACATGTCTTACACTCCTCACAAATCAAACTGTTGACACTTTTTTAGCTGTTTTATTACAAGTTTAATGGCGTTTTGGACAGCTGCAGCTTTGCCACCTTTCAAAATGTAGATAAAATAATCTGTTTTAGGTTACAAATAATATCTTCATAGCTCCACACTCATAATTGGGTTTAATTCGTTTTGTACTGTGACAAAACAAGCTGCAGTAACATCACCGTGAGTAAAACATACGATTAGACTGCGGCCTCTGATAAATGCACGACACATTTCTACATTAAATATAATGTTAGAGTCAGTATTGTTAAGATGTTCATGTGTGATTAATGAAATAAAAAGACATATTTATGAAAACTGGTGTAACAGCAGCTTGTTGGAACTTTCTTTTACCTTTTCAGTTGGCCTGCAGATCAGCCAGAGGCCTCGCTTTTACGGTGTCAAAGTTGGCCAACTTGTCCCGATTTACTGCAAGTCCTCGGGTCTGGACCCCAACAGAACCGTGTACTGGTACAAGGCCGACAAGTACGATACAAAGAAGATCCAGATTCAGGAGGATGAAAGGATTCACTTTCAAGAAAGTGAAGGGATCCAAAACGCTTTCCTTCTGCTCAAAAATCTCCAAATTGAGGACAGTGGAGTGTACTTCTGTAAAAGAAACTCACAATATGGGCCTGGAACTGCACTACAAGTAGTGAGTAAGTGTACAAAAACACAGTCAAGTAGTAAGCAAGTGTACAAATACACAGTCAAGTAGTGAGCAAGTGTACAAATACACTGTTGAGTAGTGAGTAAGTGTACAAATACACAATCAAGTAGTAAGTAAGTGTACAAATACACAGTCGAGTCGTGAATAAGTGTACAAAAACACAGTCAAGTAGTAAGCAAGTGTTCAAATACAGTTGTGTAGGGAGCAAGTGTAGAAATACACAATGAATGGGGTAAATAAGGGTATAAATACATAGTCGAGTCATGAGTCAGGGTACAAATACACAGTCAAGTAGTGAGCAAGTGTACAAATACACAGTCAAGTAGTGAGTAAGTGTATAAATACACAGTCAATTAGTGAGTAAGTGTACAAATACAGAGTCAAGTAGTAAGCAAGTGTTCAAATACAGTTGTGTAGGGAGCAAGTGTAGAAATACACAATGAAGGGGTAAATAAGGGTACAAATACATAGTCGAGTCGTGAGTCAGGGTACAAATACACAGTCAAGTAGTGAGTAAGTGTACAAATACACAGTCAAGTAGTGAGTAAG